TTTTCTGATCTCGCCGATTTCCGACATCCTTGTCGAAGCGTGCAGCTCCGCGTATATCTCCCTCATTCTGTTTGCATACTCGTCCACGGGACTGGACATATCCTGTGCGAAGCTCCGAATGTCTTTTCCGTAAACAAACACACACTCTAACGCAGCTGTGTGTATATGTGTGTTACATGTAACTTACAACAATATATACTTACGATGTAGTTATGGATTTATCGTGCACGTGCAAATGAACATCCATCGTTACAAACGTCGGAAGACTCTTCTTCAAGTTTTCCAAATCCTTATACATATTGCGTACGGTCGACGATAGAGTCTCCAGGTTTGTCGCGAGCTCAGCCATTTCACGGCTAATGGTGTCAGTCAGCAGCATCAGGCCATACAATTGCTCCATGATACGTTTTTTTACGGCTTCGCGCACTTACTGTTTTTCACACACACACACACACACACACACACACACACACACACACACACACACACACACACACACACACACACACACACACACACACACACACACACACACACACACACACACACACACACACACACACACACACACACACACTTCGCACGTGCGTGCAACGTCGCGAGAGAGAAGAGTCTTAAGAAATCTCGCGCACTTAACAATGATTTTATACCGTTCGAATCAGGATGTTTGCAGCGATCGGTAACCGCAGACAGACGTCTAATCGCAAGGATATTACGTAAACGTATCGATATAACCTACAAATCGGGAAAACTGCGGCGATGAGTAATAATGATCCTAAATCTCGTATGCTTGACAATAAATTTATACCGTTCAAATCGAGAGATGTTTGCGGCGATAGATGACCGCAGACAGACGACTAATCGCAAGGATATTGCGTAACCGTATCGATATAACCTACAAATCGGGAAACTTGAGGCGATGCAGAGTAACTTTTATCATCGTAGACAAACATCTAATAGCAAGAGTCTCACGGGCGACGAAGAATGAATAAAAGCGCGAGCGATCGGGCGTTGGTCGCATCGTACATCCATCGA